CATGTGACAGCTCTACATGCCAAAGATTAATGGAATATTTAGTTTTTTTTCGTTTTTGATATAAAGTCGAGTAGGCTGACTTTCATTTTTGTGCGAACTTTAATCGTGTACAAGAATTTGCAATTCTGTAAAGCCAATTAAAAGATATCCTTATATAAAAAATGTCGGTTTTTATTAAAGTTTTATTGTTATTAAAGAAGGGCGCGAGGCTGTCAGAAATGCACGGCGGCGGTTCAGCGTGACGCGCCGATCGTCATTACCGTTGTAATAAACAACTCTCCGCGCGCCTAGTAACGATCGATCGATCTCGCCGCACGTTTGAATTGGGCAGTGGGCCGGCCTAAGACAGCGATTTTGAATAATTAATAACTCGTTAACTATTGCAAAACCCGCAAAGTGGTACAGGACTTTTCGACTTACAAGGGAACGGTCGGAAGTGTCCCTCACCGATTTCAATGAGCTTTGGAGATGTTGTAGAGCATAAAAAAGTATTAGACCCGCATTTTTTTTATCGGCTTTACTCGACGTTTAGGGGGTGAAACAGCCCCTCGAAAATAACGGATTATTTCATTTTTTACGAATATCTTCGAAAATATAAGTTTTATGGAAAAATGTTTTAGACAAAAGTTTTATTGTCTTTTATAGTCTTCACAATGGCGTAATCACATTTTTCAACAATGTCAAATTTTTTAATTTACCCCCACCCCACCATTATTTTTAAAAAATTAAAAAAATTTTTCAACGCAGAAGTTTAATAGTATCAAATGACAATTATATCCATGTATATTTTTATTATGATACGCGACGATTTGATTTTTGGGAAAATCAGATGTATGAGGTATAGGTGTCGCGCTGTATAGGTAGGTGTTGCGTTACTCCTTTCCAGTTGCGATGAAATATGTCGTATGACGCATTATGCTATTAAAAATACGTTAAAGATGAGATATCACCGATATCTTTCGCAATATTGCACATCAGGTCAAAGTCACGTATGAAAACATCAGGTCAAAGCCAATCAATTTAAAACAGTATTGAAGTGAATCAACAATGAAAAAATAGATTTTCTACGTCATCTTGCACTTATATCATTCGCTCGTAGTGCGCTGAATGTAACCAATAATATCGGATAGCTGGCATATCATTTAGTAAAATGATAGTGGAAAGAACTGTGTGTTGAATGTTACCATTGTATAGTGCTATTTTGTGAATATGTAAGTACTTAATTTGTTGTTATTGCTTTTTATTCTTGTTATTCTTCGGCTTAATATTATTTTTAATTCAAGTACTTACACAAAGACAATTTTGCCAATCTCTTCAGCCAGTCTTACCAGTGTTTATATACAAATCATTTTTTGCTAATAAAATGTCATGATTGTAAACTCTACAATTATTTTTAGTTGATAAAATTAACTTTCTGTTTACCGTAAATTTCAGAATATCTGTTTCACTATTTTGTAAAACTGTTTTCCTCTTGTCATAGTCCACATATCAAACGCAAATTATTCCGTTTTGATTAATTAATTTATTTTGGATGCGCTACAAATCTTCATTATCAAAGAAGGGAAAAGAAACAAAAGCGGCGTTAGAACTAATATAAAAAGAAAACTCCATACATCTGACTACCTCATACATCTGACTACTTCATACATCTGATTTTCCCAAAAATGAAATCGTCGTATCATAATAAAAATATACATGGATATAATTGTCATTTGATGCTCTTAAACTTCTGCGTTGAAAAAGTTTTTTTAATTTTTTAAAAATAATGGTGGGGTGGTGGTAAATTAAAAAATTTGACATTGTTGAAAAATGTGATTACGCTATTGTGAAGACTATAAAAGACAATAAAACTTTTGTCTAAAACATTTTTCCATAAAACTTATATTTTCGAAGATATTCGTAAAAAATGAAAAAATTCGTTATTTTCGAGGGGCTGTTTCACCCCCTAAACGTCGAGTAAAGCCGATAAAAAAAATACGGGTCTAATACTTTTTTATGCTCTACAACATATCCAAAGCTCATTGAAATCGGTGAGGGACACTTCCGACCGTTCCCTTGTTAGTCTAGTCCACTCTATCCCACAATAAGCGTTGATGCGGGTATTATATAGCACCCTGTATATGCATATAAAAAGAAAACGATAATGCTAAATGGCGCGCGCAATGCATTGTTCTAGTTCCTTCAAAAGAACATGTCGGAAAACAAAAATATTATTTAACGTATTACGCAATACACATGTAATATCTATTTCGCGATTTGTCGAGTGAACAAAATTGATTATGCTTTGTCAGCATACGTGTAATAGTGGCTAAAAATTAAATATATCTACTTATCAGTCTCTTTCTTGTTCCATTCACAGAATGAGACTGATTACCGGTATCTCACCAATCATCACGATCCTGTGGATTTTGATTACAACTAATCTAGCATGCGGCAAAAGGCTATTAATCATTACGCCAACTCCATCCTACAGTCATCAGATAGTATTTCGGGCAATATGTCTTGCTTTGAGCAAGCGAGGACATGAGATAGTAACACTGACTCCTAATGTTCTAAACGATCCTAGCGTGACCAACTACACGGAAATAGACTTCGGTTTTGCATATGAAAAAATTGACGACTCTGACATAAGTCAGAGCCGTTGGAATCTCACACAATTGGCGGGATTAAAAACCAGATTGCTAACGCTGGGTCATATCATGGCGGAGGATGTCCTCAGCCATCCCGATCTCGCCAAGTATCACGCAAATGGGACCGATGTGCAATTTGACGCGGTAATAGCGGAGATGATTATGACTCCCGCGATCTACATGCTGGCGCACAGATTTAACGCACCGTTAATAGGCAAGTTTCGATAAAGTTATTATTTAATCACGTCATGTATCACGTAATACAGCAACGAACGTTGTTACTCAACGAATTTTGTAACCTCAGGTATCATGTCTATGGATTTGCAAAACTGCCATCGTTTCACTCTCGGTAGTCCCGTGCTGCCGTCACATCCCTCGAATTGGGAGCTCGAAAGTTCCACAGGATTATACGTGCCATTTTGGAGTCGATTGGTGAACTTCGTCAATACTTGGTGGAGCATATACTCGTGGTTTAATAATTTCGCGAGCAAACAACAACAGATTGCCGAAAAGTATTTCGGTAACGATATACCGCATGTCATCGACGTTGCGAAGAATATGAGCCTTGTCTTGATCAATCAAGAACCCTTGCTTGCATATGCGAGACCCGAAATACCTAACGTCGTTCACTTCAGCGGACTGCACATCGCAAAGACGCCACCATCGTTATCAAAGGTAAGATACTCAATAATTATCGATTAATACGAAAGTCTTATTAGTCAATCACGCGTGTTTTACCGCAATTAAGAACAATATATCACCGTAAAGCTTACCGTCTGCAGAATCTACAAGCTTTCCTGGACGATGCGACAAATGGCTTCGTTTATGTAAGCCTGGGGTCAAACACGAAAAGCAAATTATTGCCGCAGGAAACACTGCAGATCTTTGCGGACGCTTTCGCCAGCTTGCCGTACAAAGTACTATGGAAATTCGAGAACGATAGCTTTTCCGTCCCCCCGAATGTTTTTATCTCGAAATGGACCCCACAGCAGGGTGTGCTAGGTAAGTGGAAACAGACAAGCTGTTATTTCATAAAACGCAATACCGGGATTATTAATCGTTTCCCCCCCGTCCTTGTTTTAGCTCATCCGAACATCAAGCTTTTCATTTATCAAGGCGGACTGCAGAGTACCGAAGAAGCGGTTCATTATGCCGTCCCGCTCGTAGGAATACCGTTTGTCTTCGATCAGGTGTACCAAGTTATGAAAATGGTTTCTCTGGGAGTTGCAAGGTACCTAGACATAGTCCAGCTTACCACATCGGAATTGCGCGACGCTATACTGGAAGTCGCCGATGATAAAGGGTAATTACGATGTCAATTATTAGTACGACGCGCGTGCGGCGAACCGTACGTGCATATGTATGGCAGCAATCGTCTCCGTTGCGGATAGAGAGCGACTATCGTGATATTTACATACAATAACTAACATGCATATATGTATATTTGGTGCTCTGTTTGCAGATACAAAGATAGAATGCTGGCGCTACGTGCCCTCACAAAGGACAAGCCTTATGATAGCTTAGAGAATGTTATATGGTGGATCGAGTTCATAATGCGTCACAATGGCGCACCTCATTTACGTTTCAATGGGGTCGATACCGCGTGGTATCAGCAATTCGATTTAGATGTCATTGTATTCCTGGCGATAACATCATTCTTAGTTTTATGCGCTATTTTAGGTGCCGTAGGATGGGTTTCAACGCAGTTATATATATACTTTGATTTGAGCAATCGATGTATATTGCGACGATATATAAGACGTATAATGAATGAAAAGACGAAATCGGCGTAATATTGTATAAATTGAAAGATACTCGAATCATCGTTGCGTATTTTTGTCTTACTCGCCCGTCCACGAGCTTGAGCATACCTCAGTTTAACAATAGCATTGTTTTGGGAATGTCCAGACTATGCGGAATATCGCGGATGTGTCCCTCTTTTATCCCTCGGGCATTTGCATGCGGATTTTACAGTGCTCATTTATACGAAAAATAGAGAAGCGTGCAAGAGTCGGAGAAAGTGAGAGAGGATAAATTCCGGCATAGAGGAGAACGCTGTGAATATAAAACTGGCGGTTGAGTGAAATGGGTTTTGTAAACGCACGAAATTGCATCCCCAGGTCTATTATGCTCATTTGCGCGTACCCGTAGAATTAGAAGATATAGAAAGTGAAGAAAGATAAACAAAAGAAACATCCCAGAGGAAGGCCAATAATTACATTCCATAATTATGCGAATATCCTCATTATGCGCAAACGCGGTATTCTCCCGATTACGCTCGCAAAGCTTTCGCTAAAGCCGTAGAAATTCAAAACTTAATTAGTTTCGGAAATGACGCCAAGTGTCAGATGTTATTGTTAACATGACCGATGCGTTTCGAATATCCGGTTAATGAGGCTCCCTTTGCCGCCGGTCCGCGCGTCCATTTGGCAGATGGACCTAATTCAGAGTGCAAGGATCCATTAACACGTATATTCGCCCCAAGGAATGTATAGCGCGATAATGTATACGATGCTAACATCGCGCACGTACACAGGCTCAAACGCCGCCGACCAAGCACACGTATTCTATGAACATTGCAGCAACAATTAGGAAACCCCTTCGCTATTGGGCGGAATACATATCTACGGCTATTTCAAGTACCTGTGTGAAACCTATGCGAATCGCGAGCACGTACACAGGTACACATGGCACCGATGACTATGGCATTCATCGCCATTGTAACATATAGTCGCGCGTACGCTACACTATTCCATCGTCGAGAGCGAAACATTGACTAATCAAGATATCGATCAGAAATTTCGGTAGTATACAATGGTTGGAAAAAATGTTTAATTTATTCAACCCCGTTAATCAACTGCGAGGTAAACTTAATTTTTAAAAAGTTTACTTGGCAACTCCTAGTCCCAACGCTAGCCGAATGTACATCCAAGGTTTTGGCAGAAGGGAAAAATAACTAAAGGGACGGGCAATTAACGCGCAGAGTGGTTTTTATGGCCTACGAATTTTCAGTCGATCTGGCGCGATTAGCGCGAAAACGAGGGACTCGAGGGCCAAAAGTGGCACGGGTTACATAGCCTGTCGTAAATAACATTGAAGTCTATTTAAACTTTTTCAATTATTTTGATATCTTTTACCGGCAGCGACCACCCCGAGACCGGCATCGGTCGCGTTATCGAAGCCGGAGGAGCGGAAGGTCTTGTCTTCTCCGTTCATCTCTCGCGCGCGTCCTGACGACCGTCCGCGCTCGCTTCCACTCTTGGCAAACGCGTTTCATAAATAAGCCTTTGTGCGACCCATCTGGAAATTGAATTGAAAAGTTCGCCTCGCCCACACCGTGGGAAAGCTGAAAACGACACCGCGGCGCAGATCGGCGCGCACCAACGTCGGCAACGTCAATTTTCTGGACGATTTTTCCCTCCGCCTAGCGCCCGGTCCACCATCGTCGTGGCGCGCTTCGTTTATTCGCATTCAACCGGTTGAAATCTCATTTATTACCCGTACCGTATGCAATTTCGCCTCGTTGCTTTGCCGCGCCGTCGAGCCACCCCGGTAGTAGTCGGTCGGCTTTTGCAACCGCGACGCGTCCTACGACGACAAAACCGTTCGCGCGCGAAGCGCAACGTAATTTCTGACGCGTTCGCGAATAATGCCCGTTCGCATCAATTCGCCATAGTAATATACGGAGTGATCCGGCCATTATCGTCAACACGGCTCGGTGTTTATTGTATTTGTCGTCGATGCCGCGTCGCGCGCGCGCGACGACGATAATGCAATTCGTGTTGTGGATGCAACGCTGACGAAAGCAACATCTCGCTGCGCGGTATGCGCCTTGTTTGCGTTATACTTGTCGACTGTTAATGTAAATCTGATTCTCACGATGCACCTGATCGTCAGATGCATCGCGCTGTAAAACGGTTCTCTGTACCGATAGAGAGGAGAAATTGTCGTGTACGAGCTATTCATTTCGAGATGCACGAATTCTAACTAAATGGACTTATTGTTAATCAAAAAAACCACAGATAGACGATACAAATGCCGAGGGGACATACTTGAGATATATGTACAATGTATATATGTATAATAGTTCAAAAATAAAATACCAATCCAAAAAAAAGGTTTACGTTATTAATTGCAATATCTCAAAAAGCGGAGTGGAATATAAAAATAACACAGCTCTTTATTACGGAAGAGTGAGTTGCGCTTTATCGGTGCAGCTACGAAATTATCTCCAAGTTTCGGTGCTAATACGGTCTCCACAATGCGTCTTCTTATTAGTCTATTTTATTCCGTTCCACCTACAACGGCGAAGATTAAATGGATTCGCGCGGCAATTTGTGGATCGATAGATTTTAACGCACTTGGCAGACCTCGCCGAACGGCATTGGACTGTTTCCAACCGGAACGTTCTGGAAATGTAGTTAGCTCGGTACGTAATTGGTATTCTTGACGCAAAAATTCATTTACGAAATCACTCAACATAAAAGGAGAAAAGGCGGGAGATATCTCAAATAAAAGGAAATTAATTTCGTCGGCCGCCTTAAATAAAAATCTTGATGCTTCGTTCAATTTTAATCCGACCATCTCTCACGCCCGTCCCTATTTGTATTCGTCTCGGAATAAATATTTTACGTGTAACTTATAATTAAAAGATATATCCCGCGATGAACTCGTGGAAAGGAAAGGCAGACAATCGAGGGAGATAGAGACTAATGCAAAACTTGATTTTATAAAATGATAATGTATCGCGATGGAAATGCCAGGAGCGACGGTTAAATACGAGGACGGTGCGTAAGCATCTCCACTGAAATGCTCGAAGCAAACTTTAGAAAACAATATAGCAACTTACACTCAACGTTTCATTGGCTGAGATGCTTACGCGCTATATGCATATGCTCTCCTATCCATTTACATAACTTTTAACTTCGCGGGCCGTTCTGGAGTTAAAGACTCTCTCTCTTGTCTCTCCTCCTTGATTTTTTTAAATCCACCCGCCAGACGAATGTAAATCTCTATCATGCAAATATAATTACGACCTGGTTCAGAATTTACCTTCACCGCACTAACGCAGAAGCAAATATTTACGAGCAGGTCGCTCGAAGAAATCATCAGCCGCGGTGCTCCTTCTTCCCTGCCATGCATTTTTGTCAAAATTTACTTACACACTTTGCTAACTTTAGTGAAAAAAAATTTCATTATTTTTATTCATTTTCTCTCTCTCTCTCCCTCATGTCGAATTTTTTCTTTAACTTGCACTGTTCCTGTACTTTTCCTCTCTAATCAATCTTCCCTGTGTTACGCTATCTCTTCATCACGAAGGAAATGACAGAAGCGAGTCTAAATACGACGTTCCATTCTCACCCCCTTTCCACCCACGTTTGTTCCTTCACAGTTTGAAGACACGTAATACCTCGCATACGCACATGGCTTCTGACAGAGTGCCTTGTCTACTATCTGTAATTATACTGAACTTCGTGCCGAGACTGCGGGAACCTCCTATTCTGAGAACGAATTAAAATAAATCTCAGAGATAGCGGCTGCTGGCCCGGCGGGCGAAAAAAGATCTTGTTGGCCAACATAATAAGAGTTATTTATAGAATACTTTATATGAGTATTCCGGAGAAAATGCGAGAAGAGAATTCGTATGAATTGTAAAAATTCAGATATTGCCGGACGTGTTTTCAAACATTTCATTTTCTGTCACATTTCGAAAGATATCCGAATGTTTCTGTTCTCTTCATGTGACTAATTATAATCAATACATAAAGAGTTAATAATTTTTATAAAAAAATTACAAAGAAATTAAAAAACGAAGCTATTCTTTATTCTTCTCTTTTCTACGGTACGCAAACTTTTAGTTACTAAACCGCTCAAAAAACTCGTGCTACATTTTGTACCTACGTTTTATCCCACGTTGCAACTAATGTCATTTTCCCAATAATTGCGCCCGATTAACGCGCTTTACTTTTATTAACACTGATAAAAAACTCAATGATGTATTCGTTAGCTTAAATCTCAAAATTAAAGTCAAATCCGGCTTTCAGGATGAAGAGCGGATATACTTCGTTTTAGTTTGACTTATTACTGTTTCACACCGAGTTTGTAGTACCGAACGAGAAATAAAAATCCGGCTTAACGTTCCGAGCGGACTATTGGTTGCCCGGAGACAAATTTTTGCGCGATATTGGAATTCTTTTTCTTTCCTCCTCGTTCGGCTAATGCGATCTCGATAAAGAGAACAGAGGCAACGTTCGCTCAAAGAGGTAGGGACGCGTCCCTTTGCCGGGTAGAAGGATGGGGTGCGCAATCAGGAATCCTTTCACTGTAACTTACAGAGATATAGCCGTCTCTCGTGTTGTATGCAAATCCATCTGTACTTGATTATTTCGATTCATCGTCGATGGACCCATCGACTGATCGAGCCGATCTAACGGGAGGAGAGCACTGCCACGAATGATGCCAACGCTTTTTCATTGTTAATAAAAGTTCGCAAAGCGATTGCCAGCAGGATTTGGCCTTTTGGCACTTTAACTCACTATCGAAAAGCTCACGCGTCGCTCACACTAAACAGACAATTGTGTCTAATTACATTCTCTCTTATCCTAATGTATTTTAATATCCTTCGTTACTCGCTGCCGAGAATCCTAGCTAATTTATGAGGGAATGTCCAAAACTTTTCCTACTCTGGACGGTCGCATTTGCCTGGATTCCGTCTAGAACGAGAGTTGCAGATTGCAAATTGCAATTGCAAGAAGCGAACAGAATGATAGCAATAAGTGCGATAAAAGTATACGTGGTTTGAATTCAGATTTCTGTAATTGGACAAGCGTTTCAACCCCGATGGGACAGCGGATGCGACTTTTCGTTTACGTCGTGTGCATGCGACGACCGATTTCATCGGACTCAGTATGCGATTTTGCATGGTGGTCCTTTATTGGCGGCTACGGGTCGCGGCTTCGTCTACGAGAATCGCGCGCGCTCGTATCAACACTCGCTCGTTGTTGTGCACCGTGGGAAATTGAAAATACTCGAAATTCCGTTGATGCGGTGAAACGTGATAACGTGTCTCCTGAATGCGAGAGTGATCCGCTTTCGGTGGCGGCAGGCTGCTAAAGTAACGGCGAAATGGCGCAATTGCGCGCGAGGCCCTCGGGTGTCCCGGCATTTCCGTCTGTATTTTTTGGGTCATGTTCCGTAAAACG